CCAAACCAGTCTGAATCTCTCTGATTACACCTCAGCAGTAAAATTGTGCTTGAAAGTTGAAAAAATCCATGGATTATTTATTTATTTATTTAAAAGTCTATGATATGGGCTCTTTAAGATAAACACTATGTTGACTCCACAGTACTTAACTTCTGCGTCCGTCTCCACTAATTAAACAGAGTTTTTTCCATGGCCTCAGTAATCCTGGCTCTTTTTGCTGTGGGGTTTTAGCTTTAACAGTAAGTTGGTCACAGGCCAGCGCCCTCGGATCCCTCCACCGCCCTGCTTTTTAATTACTTTCTCTTTCTTCTCGGGAGATTTCACTCTCGCTCCCACGTTACTCTGCCCCCGATTACACCGCACATACGCACCCAGGCCCCGAATCTCCTCCGATTGTGTAAATTGAAAGGCTTAGCAGCAGTTTAGACTGCAGACTCTACGCGAAGCCATTACTGTAATTGTCCACCCCATCGCATCGCTCCTCTCGGCAGCTAGATGGAGCCGCTCCGGCTACACACACAAAAGCTGCGGTATTAGCTGTTTTGATAGCAGCCATTCACCAGGTGCGTTTATCTTTCCTCAGCAGGGATGGTGGGTGTAGCACTTGGCCAAAAAATAGTGAAATAAATAAAGGAAAAAGGAAAAACAAGCGTAAAAAGCCGAGGCTAGGTAGCAGCGGCTGCTGTCGAAGTCGAGATTCAGAGAATACACGTCAATCACGTTCAGCACAATCACACCGTAGCCCAGCTTAAGTGGCTCGCACACCGCCGACGCACGTCAATCACGCGTTCGCACGCTCAATCAGGCCATATCCCAGTGTAAATGCCATGTGCTGAATCTGAATGAAAGATATTCCAGCTCAAAGGCTCAATCAGCGAGGTTTAGCCGTACCCTCTCTGTGTGTCAATCTCTCCAGACCCGCTCAATCAAACTCAGAGCGCATGTTTACAGCTAGCAGCCACACTCAATCAGGCAATCACTGCGCTCGCCTAGTGCACTTTTTATGTTGTCAGTGCGCGGGAGAGTCGGACTCGCGCTTTGCCATCAATGCTGCTGTAGTTTCCGCCGCCAGGCCTGACGCCGGCCGTCAAACCCTGTGCGTGTTCGTGCTTAGTGTCCAGATTATGGTGTTAATAATAGCCCTTCGGTTCGGGCCATTAGTGTCAACTCAGTCAAAAACCGAGAAAACACACCCAATGCTAGTTTATGCTAGCAGGATCTATGGGATTTCTAATAGTATGTTAGCGCTAAGCTAATACCAACGCACATTAATGCGTTTTATTTGAAGCTTGTAACAAACATTAGCAGATATTTTATGATTTCTGTATCAGATTTACAGCGACTCAGTAAAGAGTTCTGCTGCTGCTGTTTTCCGTTCCTAACAACTGACTGAAACCTGGTTTGACTGTGACTCGTATTCATTGTCAGTGACGTATCTAGAACCTCCAAATGGGCTAGAGTGGCGTTTTTTTTTCTCACAAAACTGGACCTGTTGTAGACTAAAGTGTGATTGGTTGATTCCTCTGTCAGGAATGTTGGTAGTTAATCTAATATGACCTAACCAGTTCCTGACCAATAGGAGAGCTCGCTTGGCTGTATCTACCTACATACCACAGAGAAAACAGGCTTTATTGGACCATTTTCTGTTGGGTGTTTCAAGATTTGAACCCTTTTGTTACCAACCAAAGTTTAACACTGAAATAAGAGTGTTACTACAGTGTTTGCAGAGTTTAAATCAGATTAGATTAGATTTAACTCTGTCATTGTGCAGAGGACAAGTACAGAGCCAATGAAATGCAGTTAGCACTAGAAGTGTGAAGTACAGTATGTTGGTAGGTGAGCTGTAACTCTGTCTGTGCTCTGTTGGAGCTCATCTCATCACTGTTACTGCAGATTCACCAAGGTGGATAAACAGCAACAACACAGACCAGAATGACCACAAACACACAGACAGATACACTGATCAAGCATAACATTATGACCTACAGTGCTGGGTGGAAGACCTTAGACCTGCCAAGAAAAGCTAACAAACTGGCAGAGAACGTGTACCGAGGAGAACCGCCTGGGTCGACTGCTTTGTTCTGACCTTAATTTGGCCCATTTAAACCTGTTAGCTGGTTGTGTATTCTGTATACACACTGATCAGGCATTACATTCTGACCACTTCCTTGTTTCTACGCTCATTGTCCATTTTATCAGCTCCACTTACTATATAGGTGCACTTTGTAGTTCTACAGTTACAGACTGTAGTCCATCTGTTTCTCTGCATACTTTGTTAGCCCCCTTTTACCCTGTTCTTCAGTGGTCAGGACCCCCATGGACCCTCACAGAGCAGGTACTATTTGGGTGGTGGATCATTCTCAGCACTGCAGTAACACTGACGTGGTGGTGGTGTGTTAGTATGTGTTGCGCTGGTACGAGTGGATCAGACACAGCAGCGCTGCTGGAGTTTTTAAACACTGTGTCCACTCACTGTCCACTCTATTAGACACTCCTACCTGGTCAGTCCACCTTGTAGATGTAAAGTCAGAGACGATAGCTCGTCTGCTGCTGCACAGT